TGGTGCAAACCCGAAATAACTCAAACGATGGTAATAACCAACCCGAAGCAATTTCCATTCAATTAGCTGCCATAGCCGCAAAGTTGGAGTCAATTGATACGTTGAAAGCATATATAGCAGCTTAGAGGGAGGAGATTGCGGCTTTAAAGGTATGAGGTCGTTCCCAAGGAAGCAAGAGTGATGAAGGGGGAAGTTCTTGGAGGGGCCGACAACCATATAGGCCCTATAACAAAATCGAATTCCCGACTTTTAGTGGAGGAGATCCTCGCGGATGGTTGCTGAAAGCTGAAAAATATTTCAGGTATTACTGATGAGGTGAAGGTTGAAGTGGCCTCAATGCATCTAGAGGGTGATGCCTTGGACCTTTACTCTTGGCTCTCTAACGACCAACCCATCACTTTTTGGGAGGAATTGACCCAATCGTTTACAATTTTTTTGATCCGGCAGAGTTCCAAAACTAGATGAATTCTTGTGTAGCATCAAACAAACTGGTTCAGTTCAAGAATACCGGCATGAGTTCGCTAAGAGATCCTCTAGGGTCTCAAATTGGCCTGATCATTGTCTCTTAGGGGTGTTCTTGAATGGTCTTAAAGATGAGTTGAAATCCGATATAAGGATCCACAAGCCATGTATGGTGTATAGTGCTATGAGCCTGGCTTTGGAGACTGAATCTAAACTCTTCTCTAACCGGCCAGAAAAAAGTACTTCTTGGACTTCAAGTTCAAAAAATCCTCAATCAGATTCCAAACCAACACTCTTCACCCTAGTTCCAACATCAACCCAACCAAAAAACATTCCCCGGATCTCCGACAAAGAAAAACAAAACCAATTCTTGAAAGGAGAATGCTTCAGATGCGGCGACAAATACGGACCAGGTCATCGATGTAAAACCAGTACCCTCAAGGTGTTAGAGGCAGAGGAGGATTTGGGGGAATCACCTGTAACAGAACTCCCTAATCCCGATTCTGACCAAGAAGAAACGACCGAAATCAGTTTGCATGCTATCTTCGGGAAACCACACCCTACTAGATGAAGGTCCGAGGTAATCTTCATTCTACCGAAGTTCTAATTTTAATTGATGGTGGCTCTACACATAATTTCATTTCAGATGTTCTGGTAAACGAACTCAAACTGACCTCTGAACCAGTGGCACCGTTTGGTGTCCAAATCGGTAATGGGGATGTAATTCGGTGCAGCCACATTTGCAAAAATCTTCCTCAATGAGCTTAAGATCACTCAAGACTTTCACCCCTTTTCTCTTGGTGGGGCTGATTTAGTATTGGGTATCCAATGGTTAGCCACACTAAATACGGTCCAGGCTAACCGGAAAGAAATGTTCATGATCTTTAAAATCGATGGGTAACAATACAAGTTACAAGGTGTTGCATCTGGGCCTCAAAAATCATCTAGTTTTCAACACCTAGCCATTGATCCAGAAATTCCGCCATGCATACCAACCCCACTTCAGCCTATTGTTACACAATACATGGCTGTTTTTGAAGAACCTCAAGACTTACCCCCAGCTAGATCACAAGATCATTTAATCCCGCTCTTGCCAAACTCAACCCCACCCAATATCCGCCCTTACCGTTACCCTCACTCCCAAAAAGCTGAGATAGAAAAACAGGTGGAACAATTGATGGCAGCCGGTTTTATACAACTGAGCACATGTCCTTTCTCAAGTCCGGTTTTACTAGTCAAGAAGGACAATACGTGGCGAATGTGCGTCGATTATCGGGCTCTTAACAAGATAACTATAGATGATAAATACCCAATACCTAACATTGACGAGTTACTTGATGAATGGTATGGAGCTATGGTATTCTCAAAACTCGATTTGTAATCGGGTTATTACCAAATCCGAGTGATAGCCTCGGATATTGAAAAGACAGCTTTTCGTACCCATTCGGGTCATTACGAGTTTAAGGTTATGCCTTTCAGCTTAACCAACGCTCCTTCCACGTTTCAGGCTGTTATGAACGATTTATTTCGTCCTTATTTATGACGTTTTGTACTTGTGTTCTTTGATGACATTTTAATTTACAACTCAAGTATGGAGCAGCACAAGTCTCACCTAAAACAGGCCTTGAAATTGCTGCATGACACTACCGATTCTTTGCCAAATTATCGAAGTGTTGTTTTGGGCAAGGACAAGTTGTGTTTCTGGGACATGTAATCAGCTCAGAAGGAGTTAGTGTGGAGGAAGAAAAGATTTTAGCAGTAAAGTCATGGCCCATTCCATCAACAGTAAAAGAGGTGAGAGGTTTCCTTGGGTTAACCGGTTATTCTAGGCGTTTTGTCCGAAATTATGGACTTATAGCCCGATCACTTACTGCATTGACCAAGAAGGACGGGTTTCTTTGGTCAGAGGCAGCACTTAAGGCCTTTAATGACCTGAAACAGGCGCTGCTGACTACACCTGTTTTGAGGTTACCATAATTTCTCTAAACCTTTTGTTATAGAGTGTGATGCATCATCAGATGGGGTCGGGGCGATACTATCACAAGAGGACCATCCTGTGGCTTATTTCAGTAAAGGATTCTCCCCATCTAACCGCTTTAAGTCGGCTTACAACAGGGAGCTGTTGGCATTAGTCCTCGCGGTCCAAAAATGGAGCCATTACTTGCTTGGCCGACATTTTCTCATTTGCATTGATTACTATACCCTTAAATTCTTATTTGAACAACGCATCACCACTACAGAGCAGCAAAGGCTTTTGCTAAAACTCATGCCTTATGATTTTTCAATTGTTCATAAGGCTGGGAAAGAGAACAAGGGGGCAGATGCCCTGTCTCGCCGACCCCACTCGGGAGAATTATTAACACTTATCATCCCCTTTTGTGTTGAGGTAGTTGATATCAAGGCAGGGTTGCAAACTGATTCATTTACTAGCGATCCGATCAAGAAGTTGCAAACAGATCCTTCCTCCGTCCATGATTTCTCGCTGGTGGATCAACTTTTGTTTCATCATGGACGGATGGTGATTCCGGAGATACAAAATCTCAAACTTAAGCTGTTACAAGAAGCACATGACACTCCAATCGGTGGTCATGGAGGCTTTTTAAAAACCTACAAAAAACTCTCTTCTCGTTACTATTGGCCAAAGATGAAACAGGATGTCATTTGCTTATCCCATCCCTATACGGCTAAAGGAGTAGCAGCGGTTTTTGTAGGGAAATAGTCAGGTTGCATTGCTTTCCCCGATCCATTGTGTCTGATCGAGATGTTGTCTTCCTCAACAACTTTTGGCAAGAATTGTTCCGATTAAGTCGGACAAAATTAAAGCTGAGCATAAGTTACCACCCTCAAACGGATGGCCAAACCGAAGTTCTGAATCGCTGCCTAGAAGCGTACTTACGTTGCTTTGCTAGTGAACAGCCAACCAAATGGAGTACGTACTTACCTTGGGCCGAATTTTCATATAACACGGGGTACCACACGGCCACCGACACAACTCCATTCTCTGTTGTGTATGGTCAAGAACCCCCTTCGCTGTTCCCCTATGCGGCAGGCGAAACAAAAAACGCAGAGCTGGAACAACAGTTAGTTGATCGGGATGATATGATAAAGCTTCTTCGCCAAAACCTCCAAAAGGCCCAAGAGAGAATGAGAAGCCAAGCAAATCAGAAGCGACGGGAACTCACGTTTCAAGTTGGTGATTATGCCTTCTTGAAGATTCAACCGTATCGCCAAAAGACTTTGGCTAAACGTCGTTATGAGAAGCTGTCTCCCAAGGTTTTTTGGACCATATCGTGTTAACAAAGCAGTGGGTCCAGTTGCTTATGAGCTGGAATTACCACCCGAAGCTAGAATCCACTCGGTATTTCACATTTCGATGCTTAAACCTGCCCATGGCTCTTTTTCTTCGGTACCAGATATCCCATTACCCATCATCAAAGACTGGGAAATTGATTTACAACCTAACTTGGTCATCACTCATCGATGGGTCTATGAAGCTGGCCAACCTGTCCTTGAATTGTTGCTTTCATGGTGTAATCAGCCTGGTAGAAGAGGCAACATGGGAAACCAATGATCTCATGGCTGAGCAATTTCCTACATTCCGTCTTGAGGACAAGACGTTTTACCGGGAGGGAAGTAATGATAAAGATTGAAAGTATACTCAAGAAGGAAAGATCGAGTCACAGCTGCAAAAGTAGGACAACTGTATTCTGTCTTTGGAAACTGACTGAATCCTCTCGGTCAAATCACTGGATGATTTTAGGCAATCAATTTAATTAATGATTATCCAGGAAATTAGGGTGTAGAATCTTGCCCTTAATTTCTACCTGTAATTCTAGTATTTGATTAGTATAAATTAGTGGCTAGTTTTTCATGATTGGCATTGAGAATTATCTTTTAATTTCCTTGTTCTTGTAAATCGGAGACCGTGCCCCTCTCGAATCGGGCCACTATCCTTTATTTCTAATAAAATTCAGCCAATTTTCATCTTCATCAATTATGTACCTATCAGTCCGTCTGTAGGATAAAACATAGACATGCACTATTCATCTTGTGGGATAAATCAAAAGATTTTTATTTATGTAAAAAATATGGGTGATTTTGATACTATGATTTGGGTTTTGTTGCTATTTGGTTGGGTGGTGGCGGCATTGTATTTTTGGGTTCGGTAGCTATTTAATTTTGATTTGGGTGGTGGCCGGGTCGATGATTGGTGGGTGGGTTGTTGTGGGGTTGATGGTCATAATTTTGATACTATTACTTTTCAAAAGTAGTTTCGTTCCATTTATAATATTGCTCAAAAAGGAACGTCACCTAGTCTGCGGAGAAGTCAGTTGATGAAATCAGGTTTAGGGAAGTCATTTAATGTCTACTTAAATTTCAAAATGCTTAATTCAATGAATAATTGGTGATCAAAGTGGTTTCGGACACTCAAACCCAGTCTACCCTGTTTTTTTTTGCTTCAAGTTTCTTATTTTAATATCCGTGGAACAGCTAAGCTCTGTCTGTTGGTTCTAGATAGGTTTTCCTTTATTGTGCAGGTTAACATGAATGAGAGAGATTATCAGAGGAAAAAGAACAAGTTTCTGCCGAAGATTCATTCTTGGTATGCTCTGACTTACCTATAACATAATTTTTGTTATTTGGTGCATATACACTTAAATTTTTGATACGAGCCACTACGGGATTGCTTTGACTAACACTCAAATTTACTAAGTGGCAATTTATTACCGAAGCTATTTTAAAACTGAAATTTTCTGTTTTCAAATTAAAAATAGAGTGTTGGATTTTCATCAATAATAAAGTGTTCTATCCCAGAATAGTTGGGGTAGGCTAAAACAAAACCAAGAGAATTGGTGGTATCGAGAAAAAATATATACAGGTGAACCCCCTAAGGTTTCAGGATATGTACTACATCCTTGCATGCTCTAGAACTGGATTAAGAAACTGAAGTACATCCTTCCTACACATGAGATTGAATGTAACCAATCAAGATGCCAGAAACATACACACACACAAATATGCATGCATTCAAAATCTGAGCTGAGATTTTCGTGAGTCATTAGTAATTCTGTATCCTTCAATCAATCACCACGATAACACATTTTGGAGGCCTATTTAGGCTGTGAAAGTTAGATCATCTCCAACATATTCTCCAAAATTTCTCCAAAATGGAGAATGGAACTTCGAAATCTCTAAAAAAATACATTCAACTCCAACAAATTCCCCATTTTGGAGATTACAACATTGACTATATTATTAAAAATTCCATTAATCTTATAGAATATTATTTCTCTTTAAAGCTTCAGTTTCGAAGTTTCCTACTAAATGGGAATATATTAATTTTTTCCCCTCTCTCATGGTAATCATTTTTGGGGAGTTCCCCAAATTAGGAAAATTTCACTCTCTCTCTCCTACTTTCTTCATTTTGGATAAAGGTTTCGGAGAACCTGTTGGAGCAAAAAAACATGCCCAAAATCCCAAAATCTCCATTTTCTTCATTTTGGAGAATCTGTTGGAGATGCTTTTAATTAAGCTAACTGTCTTTTTTTACACGAATAGATTCAGTTCGGGTTACTGGGCGTGAGATAGGTGGTCAAGCAGGTGCTCATTAAACAAATTTTAGTTTTTTGAAATAAATCCATCATCCATGCATGGGTAGATATAGGCATATTGAATGCCATGTCAAATTAAGACGGTTATTTTTCAGTTGAAATTGCCAAGTTTGTTGATGATTGGGCCGTGCATTGATAAACAGGCAATACTGCAATACATATGCAGTTGCTGTAATGTTAGTCTGATGGCTTATCTTTATCCTTCATCTGGAAGTTGATATACTTTTGAACCTTTCTAGGGTGCAGGAGCACGGGGGCGAGCCCATTATCCCTTTTAGCTGTGCCTTGGAAAGAAATCTATCTGATATGCCTCAAGATGAAGCAGCAAAATACTGCGAGGACAACAAGGTACAAAGGTTAGTTCATGATGAACTTTTTGGAACTGGGAAGATTCCATCATGCATTTTGTTGGTTATTTAAGAAATAAATATTAGGCTTGTCTTTTGCTGGGTATATGTGGGCTTGTTGCAATATATTTATCCTGTCTCAACATTAATGCATAATTAATTATTGAAATTGCGTAAGATGGATATACCAAATTCGCATTTGTCAGTTTGAGAAGATGATGAAGGTGAAGAGAGAGTTTTGAATGGGGAAAGCAAGGTAGGACTTAGGAGTAGTCAGGGATGAAATTATGGAGATACTTTTTTTGTATGTTTTTCCAGTGAAATTTGATTAGAATAGTAAATGGTTCTATCGTAGTTAACAAGATTACTAGTATCACCCTTTGCCTTAGCATCCCCATTAATGATCAGTCAATAGAACATATACTAAAAAGTAAGACAAAACAGTGGCAATGTTTAAACAAAAACCATCTAATCACCAAACTACACCCTGCTATTGCATAACAAAAAAAGAAAAGAAACTGCTCAAGAAGCAATCCAGTGGACCAGAAATTGCTTACCTGCTGACCTGTTGGGTTGTAAAAAAGGTGGCATCTTATTCACTTGAATTGTTTCATACAGTTGTATTCTTATTCTATAGAGCAGCATATTTACACAGTGATATACCATTAGCAAACATTGGATTAGTGATCAAATAGAAATTAACACATACATAGTTGGCGCTAGTGACTGAATCCAATAGAAACAAAACATAAAAAGGGATCTTTGGCAGATTGCTTTATTTTGAAGCCTCATCCTTGTAGAAATGACTTTCTTGTCTGCAAATGAGTCTTACCATGACATTTAGTCCTTATTCTCTTTATTGCCTTCTGTTTTGCTTTCAACATTTTAAGCTTATGTTATTTGTGGTGAAGATACACTCTCTCATATGTACCAGCAAAAGTTATTCTATTCGTAGATATCTACCTGCCTTTATATAGTTACATACAAGTTTATGTATTTTTAAATCTGGAATGAGATTTCTGCATCTTCTAGTTCCTTATTGCCATGAGGGTAAAAAATCACTGTTCAGGAGAGGCAGAGTCGGTAAAGCATAACATATTATGGAATTAATGAATAATATTTCCAAAGCTCACAAATGAGTATTTATATTTGGTGTAGATGGTATAGGGAGCATCTTAATGTCCCGAAGCATTTTCTACAGATGTAGAGTTATAATTTCTATTACCTATGATGGTGAAAGTTTGTATTAAATATATGGTACTTGATGAAAAACAGATAATCTGACCTAGGTTATGTGCTGCAGTGCTCTTCCAAAGATTATAAAGACCGGATTCTCAGCTATTAGTCTAATATACTTCTTTACTGCTGGCATTGATGAGGTAATGTCCTCTCATTCTTTGCCCTGAAGTAAGCTTAATAGAGCTGATGCTAGTTGTTTACTTACGGTTTGTTTGTCATGCCAGTATTCATAGGGTTCACTCTGTTTTTGAAAATGCTCAAACGATTTTAGCAGGGCCTCTTGCTTGCAAGTTTATCAACAACTACCGAGATTTAAGGGCTGATTTTAAGCTACTTTTCACCTGTTTGTTTGGCTAGTTTTCATGTCATTACCCAATTACAGTTCTTGTAATAGGCATCTAAATTTTAGCTAGCTTGGCCTTGTTTTGATGCAGGTAAAATGCTGGCAAATTCGAAGGCAAACCAAGGCTCCTCAAGCTGCTGGAGCAATTCATACTGATTTTGAAAGAGGGTTCATTTGTGCGGAGGTATTTACTTTGTTCAAACTTTAAACTGTTGGGACCTATAAAGAAATGGAAGCTAGTAAAGAAGTGGAACTTGTTCAAAATGTGCCATGGAACTGTTCATCTGGATTAGATCCAGATATGTGTTTAATCCAGCTAACGTGTCACTAATTTCACATTGCTATGACTGCATATCATCAACACATTATCTATAAGGAACTCGTTTTTGTTGAGTATGTTGTGCTGAATTGCATGATTCTTGATTAAAGCAAGAAGTAAAATGTTCAATAACTTGGTTTCTAATTTGGAACAAGAGCAACAACTTTTTCTTGTTCGTTAAGGACTTCTTTTATCATTCCAAATGCATGAACTTGTTATTCTCATCTTTCTGATGTCACTCAACTTAAAACATACGAGAATTAACTCACTTGGATATGATGGTGTTCTCCAGGTAATGAAATTTGACGATCTTAAGGATCTTGGAAGTGAGGCTGCTGTGAAGGTATCCTTTTTCCTATATCTGGCTGAGTGTTGAAGTTTTTCATGTTGGTTGCATAGTGATGCTAAGTAAGGCATCATTTAGGGGCTGTTTACCTGCTGCTGACCGCCTCTTACCCAATCAGAGAGATGCTGCTGTTTACCAATTCCCTCTTACTGGTCCATGATGCTGACCTGGTAAGCTAAGGGAGGGACTCTTACTCGGTCAGTGATTAGCGCATACCCAATTTGTGTTGGTAAACGGCTCCCTTTAGGTGTAAAAGCCTATCTTGAGATGGTAATGCCTTTGGGCATGGAAGGCAAAACCTACATTAACCAAAACAAGCTTCTTACATGCGCTTTTCTATTCTAGAGCCAAAAACAGTAGGATAGTAAGGAACTTTTTGCCTTCTATTTTCTAAACAAAACTTGGAACTTCTCGATCCATAATTCTTGGTTCTTTTCTCGGACCTCTCTTTCTGTCATCTCAAAACTATAGTTGTGAGTGTTTCTGTTCAATGTGCATTCAGTTGCAAATTATGCAATATAATAAACATGCTTTTTCTTCAATATGCCCATTTTTTTCTTAACGAACAAAAGGATCACAATCCTGCAGTGTACAATCATTGTATTATGCTCACCAATGCTTGTACAATGCAAGATCTCTTAAAATGGTGCATTTTCACATTTCAAATGCTCAGTATCACATTAACCTATTGCTGTACTATGTGCAATAATGTTTGTACCTTCTACATTTTCTTAGACCATGTAAAGATCATCAAAACTTTTTGCATTTGTAATTGTGTACCAAATGCCCCATTCAAAATTGATATTCCCACTTGTTATGGTTAAACTTCCAAGGGAAGCCTAATCTCATTTGTAGTCCTTTTTGACTTGTGTTTTTTTGAAGTGAGGTTGAGGGGAAACCCCCCGAAAAAATTGAAAAACTGAGGAATACCTTGGTAATCGTTGTGGACATGTGCATATGAAGCTGTTTTTGGCTTTTATGCACGTGTGCATACCGGACAAATTGCTTACAGACTACTTGTATGCATATGTGCATACTGTCCAGATGAATGGTTACCAGGGTGTTGTTCCATAGTTTTTCATTTTTTTGCCGTTTTCCTGAACTTGACTCATAAAACACACACACACACACACTCTCTCTCTCTCTCTCTCTCTCTTTCTCTCTCACACACACACACACCCTCATCTTTGATGACCTGGATATTGCTTGGCCAATGACCATTTGGTTTTCTTGGTGTGAACGTTCTTGAACTTTCCACTGTTCTTGATTTGCTCGATTTTTGATGATACCAAATGAATGAAAGTACGTGGCTTTTTTGTTTGGACAGGCTGCTGGGAAGTACAAACAGGAGGGAAAAACTTACGTGGTACAAGATGGAGACATAATCTTTTTCAAATTCAATGTGTCTGTTGGTGGCAAGAAGTAACAGTAGAGTATGCAACAGTTAGTTGTTGGTTTTTGACTTGCAAAATCTTGTTTTCTGGTTTTTGTTTGAATCTATGGCTACTTGATGTAGAGCTACCCATTGATAGATTAAATATGGCAAAGAACACCTTTTCTTTTTCCTTTTGAATCTTCCTTGAATCCTCTAATCACCCCAAATTCATTTTATGTGATGCTGCTTATTGAACACTAACACCAAATTGTAAATTGATATGGATTTTTGCACACACGTTCTGTCCGAAATATTTGTTGGATTAGAAACACATTCGTATATTTACAAGAAAAGCAAAATATCATGAGAAGGTAGAAAGGAAAGTCCAAAAACAGGTTCATATGTGAAATCAATGAGAAAATCAAAAAAATATGCATATGTGAATCAACGTTACAGATTATTCATATGAGTTTACATATGCATCGTTCAAATGGAGTTTTTTATGATTCACATATGAACCTTTTCTTCTTATGATATTTAACTTTTTTATATGAATCTCTCTGTTTTATGGGATTCTCAATGGGTAGAGGATCTTGTATTCTTGTTTACAACAATATTTTCCAGCCACACAGTATGTATGCCCAATCTTCTGTTTTTCGAATATGCAACTTCCTCCAAACATCATAATGACCTAATTAAAAAAGAACAGTGGCATGTTTATCGACTCTAGGTCTTGGAAGAAAATGATGTTTCTCAAGTTGACATGATTCAACAAGCTTTGTCCGAGGGATGGAAGACGTGACACCGTATTATTCCTCTGTCGAAGGATAAAAAGATTTAGGTGCGTGTAAATAGATGGATGGAGGTGAAGGCAAGGTTTCTTGCCTTTTTTAGGAAATTTGAGAGGAGAGAGTATTTTATGGTTTTACTTGTTTAAATATGGGAAACTGAAGATTTGATTCATATTCACATTCATCTCCAAATTCTGAGTTTTTGCATAAGGTGAGTGTTTTTAAAACAGTTTATTCACATGTTTTGATTACTGGATTATGGTTTTGATATTTTAATTATATTGTTCTTATTTCACATTCAATGACCAGACTAAGATACTTCACCGATCACAATGTTGACTGGATTAGAAGGTATTCGGTCACTGTGTTGTCCGGCATAGAGAGTACTTGGACACAGTGTTGTCTGGATTGGGCGTTATGCTTGATTGTTAAAGGTTATTCGGATTAGAGTATTGACCGGAGAGAACATGTCCGGTCACTTGACTGATAAAGGATCTTGTATCCGGACACCTTGTTGTCCAAAGAAAAGTATATCCAGCCGAGTGTTGACCGGATTAAGAGTTGACCGGATTAAGAGTTTATGATGCTATTATGTTAATTATCTTATTTCAATGTGTTGTCCGGATATGGAATCCGACCAAGCTTGTCCGGACATGTGTTGACCGGATAGTTTGTCCGGATACACATTATCCGTACAAGCTTAAGTGTTGAATTTGAATTAATGGGATTTTCACAATTTAACAATTATTTGGGTTTGAATTTGTTATTGTGAAAAGAGGTATTTTATATCTTTTAAAGTGAAAAAATAATGTTTTTATCAAGCGTGGTGACGTAAGTCTATTTTGGTATGAAACTGTATTTTGAGAAATGTTTCTTCCAGTCATGGTGACTTTGTCTGTTCTGAAATGAAACTTGTTTTAAGAGGTAGTTCCCCAGACGTGATGACATTTGTCTGTTCTGGCTTGAAACTGGGTGATGGGTACTTTCAGACATGGTGACGTTTGTCTGTTCTGGCAAGTAACCCTGTTTTAAAGAAGAAATAAGGGTGACATATCAAAAAGATGTGTACCATGGAATAAGGGTGGCAATGTCAGATGTTGATATTATTATGGCTCTTGTTATTATCACTAATACAATAGCTCTAAATTAGTATTTCTTTGTGACTTGATGAAATAGAGATATTGTTCTCTTTAGAAATAATAATTTAGATGTTATTGAGAAGGGAAAAATGATTTCTCATCAAAAGCTTTCATTGCCTAAGTTTTCTATCAAATTTTAATACATACAGAGGGGCTCTGGTTGGTCTTATAAAGGACTAGAGGACCTCTGGTTATATGAAAAGGCTTTGAATATTTTGGAAATTTTATAAACCAGAAGCTCTGTAATGTTTCATACAAAAGCTCTGTATCATAATTTTATTCTTCAAAATTATCTTTCTCTTCAAAAGTATTTATGAAAAAAAAAGTCAGAGGAGCTCTGATTCTATTTTATACATCTTTAAGCTAGGGTAGATTCTTTTGAATTAGAGTCACTAATGAACCAGAAGATATCTAGTTGAGTATTGTATCACTTAAATACAGAGGAGCTCTGGTCTGTGGCACCAGAGGAGCTCTGGTCTGTGAAACCAGAAGAGCTCTGCCCCATTGAGTCAGAGCTCTGGCCCGTTGAGTTAGAATTCTATATTGACGTCTGTGTTTTAGAGAGGTGCATTTGGGTTATATGTTGTAGTAATTTGTTGGCTTATATTTTGATTACCCAATCAAATTACATTCATTTGCTTAAATGCATTTACTTCTGCGTAAAAGTTATTTTATCAGATTTTGGTGATCATCACCCTGCATTTGCAAAGACGGGATTTACTCACTACACCTTCTAGTCTAACCCTCATTTTGTGTTTAAAAAATGTGCATTGCAGGAATCACGGGGTCAAGGGATAATAAGGGGAAGAGGAAAATTTAATTATTTCCCTATTTGTTATCTGCTTTTGAGGATCAACTTGATGATTGCATATTTTGAAGATACATGTTGTCATACATGTGTTAGTGCAGGGATTTTATTTTTGAATTTTTCATATGTAAATTTTGTACATATAAAAATCCTTGTACTAGTGGGACCTATGTAGTGTAAATTGTATTTCTTTGAAATAAAATATGTGTTAGATGCAAATGTGGAATTTGGGGTGTTACACGACCTTTTCTTATGCGTAACGGTCGGTGATACGCCGTCTTTTGCTTGTGTCTAGAAAGGTCAAATAATTCGAACATATGCTAATTATAATATATTAAAAATCAAGCTACTAAAGTAATGAGTTTTAGGTCTTACCAGACGAGCACCATGCTCTGAAACAACCCTCCAATTGTCATTGTTCCAAAAATCGACCATCTGGCTCCACACATCTAAAGATATCCAGTTTGGGGGGGGGGGGAGTTCTTCAACACACTCATATCCTGGTGTGAGTCGGTTTCATCGTATTGAGGATACCCATTCCTCTTTGCTTTTTCTCTAGCTTTTTTCCTTGCGGCACTCAAGTTGTCATTATATCGCTTGGCCAACTTTTTCTCCCATGTCTCTAAGATCTGGGCGTCCAAAGCCGAATCCCAAGTGTAGTAGCCCTGTATGTAAAAGTTTAGTCGCGTCTTAGGTTTAAAAATATAGCAAAAATATAACAAGTTGAAAATATACCACGAACCTGGAACCGCTCCCACATTTGTATCAATTAAAAGATATAAATATATTTACTCTTTGCCGCGGATGCTAATAATCGTTCGCTGTTGTGGAAGCGGCTCCGGAGCAGCACTACCACGACCAGACTCTATCTCCTTCGGGTGTGCCGAAGCACTACTAGAGACTCTACCTATACCGCGGCTAGGTGTACTGCCACTACCTCGACCGATAATCTACGCGACATTATCGATTTTTCTACAAAGCAACGTTAGAAAACATACAACAATAATTCAAGTATACAACAAATATTCCACACAATAATAGATGTCGAACAATGGTTTACTAAGATTTGAAAATGGAAATAATAAAGATTTAAAACAACTAGACAAAGTTTACTAAGACTAAAAGAATAACATCTTCAACTCGTAGATCAAGGGCCAAAAAAACACATCCAAGTTCTGCCCAGGGCTCTTCTTGCCAGGAATCAGCGAAACCAGGTGGACGTTCCAGTCCTTGATGCACATCCAAGGTGGTAGATTGTAGTTTGTAAGAAAAACAGATCATAATGAGTATGGATTTGAGTTCGAGTTATTGGGATTGAAACCATCTGTACATAAGTCCAAACGAACATTCCCAATCTCTTGAGCAAAGATGCATCTTGTCAAAATGTTTCCAAGCCTCCCTATCACTCGAATGTACATATTTCCCATCTCAGTTGATGATCATGGTGTCAAGTCATCTCCTTTGCTATTTTCTTAAACAAATACCACCGTTGTAATCTTCGTGTAATTGGCAAATACGTCAACACCAAATTAGGCACCTTATTGTTTCGGCCGGTTGTCTTGTAATGAGACACCCCACATACTAGACAACTGTTTTCATCAACATGTTCCTTATAAAATAGCATGCAATGGTTCTTACAAGCATGTATCTTTTTTTTTGGAAGACCAAGCTCCTTCAACATCTTCTTTGTCTCGTAAAAGCTACCAACCAGTTGTTCACCGTCAGGTAGCATTTCTTTTATCATAGAAAGGTTATGATTGAAGGTTGTCTCTGGTACATTGCAATCTGTCTTCCAATTCAAAAACCTTGCCGCTGAAAATCTCTGGCATCCCTCCCACAACGGCTCGTCCGTAGCGCGTAACATATCATAGAAACGTTGTGCATGTTGATTTGGTTCTTGCTCATCCCACGTACTTGATGTACCGGGAACATTTTGATTCATCACCATTTGTTCAACACCATCAAACTCATTATAATCTTCGTCCACCATTGTTTATTGTGGTTGTTGAAGTTCGGGTTCTAATTCACCATGTGCATACCAGTGACTATAATTGATCACGAATCCTTTTCTTAACAAGTCTATATGAATCTCGTCTCTATTTTTAAACTTTTGAAGTTGACATTTCTTACAAGGACGTCTTACCGTAGATCGCTCATTAGAGAAAGCAAAATCCAAAAATCCAACTATTTCAACTTGGAAAACTGGATTTATAGTCCCATTACGATTTATTCGTTTATACATTCATCCTCTATCAACATTGGTCGACATAGCTACAAATATACGAAATTATGTGTCAGTTTAATTAGTTGCTATATTTAGAACTATAAATAAAAGTCCTAACGTTTGCCCAATAATTTGCAACCCATTTTTAACACAAAATATAACTTAATTTCGTTTATAAATACAAGTCTTAAAGTTTGCCCAACAATT